AAAGACTGTATTTAACCCTGGCTGAAATTCCAATCAACTCACCCTTCCTAGAAGATTTTGAATCCCCTCCTGGTCAAAGATGGCATGTTATTCCATTTTGTTTTTCTATGAATCTTGTAGTTTAGGACCTGAGACCACAAGTAGAGGAGGGGAAGACAATTTGGGAATATTTCAGGCACCTACATACAAATCGGAAATCATCCAATACAAGCTGCCGTTGACCCCCATCTCACCTAACTCTAACCCCCCACCTGTGTTATTTGCATTCCCTTTTGACTTGGGGGAATTGTATAAAATTGCCTAGACCCAACATGGAACATCAGTGTTTTTCATAGAGGCTGCACGAAAATTGCCTTATCCTTCAGCCACAGTGCAAGTGTGGAAGCAATCCCAGGCATTCCTTCTGGGAGTTTCCTGCTGCTTTACTACAGCCTGCTAGTTAATAGAACTTCATAAACATGAGTTGAATAAACAATAAACAAATGGAAAAAAAAACACATGCCAAAAGGACATGGTATGATACGTTTGGGTGTGAGTGTAGAGTTGTTTTCTTGGCGTCCGTTAAAGTAATTGCTTGGATAAATGTATATGGAGTATCCACTCTATGGTAGGAGTGGATTCTAGAGTTGACTGCTCCTGTTCCTGAAGAGCTGGTTTTTTATTCCTGGTATTCAAACTCCCAGAGCTCTGGATGGCTTTGAGGGGGATCGATGACCTTTCTGACATTTTGTGTCCGCATATATACAACATACTTACTTGTTAGGGAGAGGATGCATAATTTTTAGGAGTGCATGAGTTAGTGTGCATGGGTGGGGGAGAGAGGATCTATGAGTATTAGCAATTTCTCAAACGGCTGTGCCTGAAAGACTGTTACTAAGCCCCATCTAGCTTATCCTGTTGACCATGGCCATAGGTGAGTACAGTGGAACGATGGGTCCTTTGATAAAGCATTTACTTTTTGCGCTGTAGTCAGTGTGGGGGCAGCCACATCCTACTCGCGGTCGTGTGCGCATTTATGTGAGTGCATGCACACACCTCTTCTCCCCAGGAGTCTTCTTGGGAAAATATCTACTGAGTGCCAAATATTTACTCATCACCGTGGGCTCAGAAAGAAGAAGAAGACATCAATCACTCCTCAGAAAGAAGATACAATTACATGAAAAGTTCCAATTCCGTTGGCATATTTAAATCATGATTTAAATTTTTTTTTTTTAACGTTTATTTATTTTTGAGACCGAGAGAGACAGAGCATGAATGGGGGAGGGTCAGAGAGAGGGAGACACAGAATCTGAAACAGGCTCCAGGCTCTGAGCTGTCAGCACAGAGCCCGACGCGGGGCTCGAACTCACAGAGTGTGAGATCGTGACCTGAGCCGAAGTCGGCCGCTTAACCGACTGAGCCACCCAGGCGCCCCAAATCATGATTTAATACTACAGAAGAGCTGTGACAGTGCTCCATGATGTTTGGCCAAATGAACTTATGAATGCAGTGACAACATCAGGCATTCAGCTGGTCCAATGATTGTTAGGCCAGATTTTGGAAGGCTTTCCAGAGAAGTAAAATGGGAACTTTAACTTTAACCCTGGGCGGGCAGACATGTTTTGCTCCAATCTCGCCTGAACTCCCAGTGTCTTTGAAAGCATTTCTTTCTTAAGACCCCTTTCCCCCCCTTTTTTTTCCTTTTGATTTCAGTAACAGCTCTCTCTGTTGGCCTTTCTGGCTCATTTGTTGGTTTCTCCTCCTCCACCATTGATTACATTAAATATCAGTGTTCTCCCTAAAATCCTTTCCCCAACGACCTCATCCCTTCCTAAATAATACTATTTCAATGCTGATCACCCCCACATCTCTATTTCCAGGCCAAACATCTCAAATCCCAGCTTATACAATGCATGGTATGGCCACAAGCCAGCAGTTCGTTTCCCCTCATTCATTCCATCCCATTTCAGTAAAGGCGGGGCCGTCTTTTGCTTAAGCCCAAAATGTGGACACTGTCCTTGACACTATCCTTCATAGTGTCCGCATCCAGTCTGTCACGGAGTTCTGCCCATTTTCACTCTCCAGTATGCCAGTTCTCTTCATTCACTGCGCTCTTCACGGTGCTCACCTTAGTCCCAGCCACTGCACTAGCACAGGAACTAGAGGTTTCCCTCACGGTCTCTGCGGAAGCTCCCAGTGGCCTCCCTACTACCATTACTGCTTCCTTCCAGCAGACCACTTCTCCCCTTGGCCGCTAACACGGTCTTCTCCTAAGGGCAGTCAGATCATTTTGTTTGCACGCTTAAAAATGTTCAAAGGCTCCCCCGTGTGTGCATCCATCCTTCTTATCTTAGGGTACAGAGCGCTGCATGTTATGGCACCTGTCCACTCCTCCAGCCACTGATTGAGGGACCACGCTCACCTCACCTGCTGGGCCACAGCCACACGGACCTTCTTTCTGTCCATTGACTGTGCACAGAATGCTCCTGCTTCACGGCCTTAGTTCATGCTATTCTTTCCCAAACTCTTGGCACAGCTGGCTCTCTCACAAGTTCAAGTCTCCTCAGATTAACTGTCATCCCCTCAGTGGCCCCTTCCCCAGTGGTTCTTGGTGGCTGTGCATGTATCCCTCCCTGCCTCCAATATTCTTTATCTTAGCACCGTGTTTGTCTCATCTACTGAATTGCAGTTTTTTTTTTAATTATTAATTTACATACTGCATCTCTCCCAGCTCCACCCACTGAAGTCCAGTTTCTTAACCACCTGAGGGCAGGACCTGTGTCCACCTGCTGACCGTGGTGCTCGCGATGTCAGTGCTATTCCATCAATATTGGAATGGAATGAGTGAATCAGAGTAGGTAGAGAAAACGGGTCACAGATAGCCCTGTCACATTCCAGGCAGGTGAAAGTTTATGAGGAAAAACAGCACCAGAAAAGCCCAGTGTTTGTGGTATAGTAAATCTTTATCCCCCGACCAGGACAGAAGGTAATATAATATCATGGTGTCGAGTATGCAGAAATAAGTTTGAAGAAGAAGATGTCGGTGGGTCTTAGACCCAAAGGTAGGGAGTTTGGACTTTGTCCCATATATGATTGTGTACCACTAAACTTTTTGGTAAGGCAATGAAATGAACAAGGAGATGTACCTAGCCCTGACGGGTGGTGCTAGTCCTCGTTTTAATTATACTGTATCTTAATTGTTAAATTGCTTCTCTACTTGTCTACCAGACTGTTACCTCCCCCGGGTCAGGTACCGTGTCCCAATCACCAAGTGAGATCCCAGCTCAGAGTACAGGGCTTGGTGCACCAGAGATATACAATGAATAGGTTTTGAATGGGTGAATGAATGAATGAACTTTGGGGAGTGAATATGCCATCAGAGCTTAGAGCTGCCCTCTCTGAACTACCTTTTTCTCGAGAAGTGTCAGAACGAGGACCAAGTAAGCAACTAAGCACACAGGGGTGACAGCGCTAAAGTCCCTCCCACAGCAGCTGGTGGTAGACAGGGTCTTGTCTCTTATAAGGGAAGTCTGCTAAAGGGTTAACAACAGATATGCCACCTGACTCTGAGACTGGCATGCACCGCGGTGATTAATATATACAGCAAACATTTTCTTGCCAAAGCTGAGATGATTCAATCTAAATATTCTTCCAGAGAGGTCTCCTTAATTATAATGACATGGTATAAATATAAGAAGAAAGAATGTCAATTATCACTTTGTATAATAACAGTGTTAGTGTTCATGCACATAAATTATAAGTAAGTTTACCTATTTAAAAGCAAGGAAAAGTGCTCGGTTTTGCAATTTAAAACTTTTGAATATGCCACATTTAAAAATTATGTCATTATAACCAGTAGGAGTTAGTAATCACCACTAAAATGCGTGTTCGTGAATAGGTGATGAACTACTTATAGTGAAATTCTTTTAAAAATCACTTGAAAGGACAGATTTAAAGACACCTATGTTATATTTATTTTCATGCATTCCAGACTCATCCAATGTGCTTTGAACAGCTGTTAGTTACATGGCATAGATATGAAAGCTTTTAGAGTGGCTCAGCCTGAAATGGCAGCTCCTAGTCGTGCATGGTGATTTAAATTTAAATTTTAGTTAATTAAGATTAAATAAGATCAAATTTTCAGGTCCTCAGTCTCACTAGCCACATTTCAAGCCACCTGTGACCGGTGGCTACTGTCCTGAATAGTGCAGAGTAGAACTTCCCTATCATGCAGAAAGTTCTCTTGGACAGGGTTGCTCTAAAGAAAAGAAGTAAATAGGACCCATCACAAGCACCACAGTCATACCATCAAGAGCTGCTGACATGTGTCTGGGATTTATTTTGAGAGCAGATATCTTTGCCCACATTGATGAACACATTTAAAAGTGCCCTTAGTTTCCAGTAGACAATAATCCTATTCAGTGCTAAATCAAACTGGCCACTGGCTGAGAGAGGAGGCCTTCCCCTTGTAAGGTCCTCATCTGTTTGAGCTAGTTGTACATTTTGTGATGTTGTTTGAAGCCAACTGTAATGCAGTTTTCCAAAGTGACATTTTGAAAGCAAACGACTTCAAGGTATTAGCTTAAACCTGAACTCATCCTTTATGTTCTAATCTACTGGCGTTCAGTTCCTCTGTCTATAAAAGTAATAACTCATAACAGTTTTGGCTGAATTCCTGCGCCCCTTCACCGGATCCAGGATTTGAAGAGTCTGAGTGAGTAGAAGAGCTTATCATAAAGCATCTGACAGTGCATACATCACAAGGGTTTACTGGATAAAGATGTGATCCCGGTCCATCTGCTCCAGATATGTTATCACATTCTTATTCTCTTGCAGATCACCTACAAAGCTGTCAGTTCCTTTGACCCAGAAATAGACTTATCCAATCAAAGTGGAAGAGTTTCAAAACTGGGAAATGAAACCCATTTTCTATTCTTTGGACTGTATCCGGGGACCACGTACTCCTTTACTATCCGAGCTAGCACAGCTAAGGGATTTGGACCTCCAGCAACAAATCAGTTTACCACCAAAATATCAGGTATTATATATACATTCATGAGTTATGTCTTTTATCGGAAGTAGCATTTTTGTACTTTTTCATTCCCATTGTCAAGGACACAAAGCTCATACCATCTTACACATTGTATTCAGATTCCCACTTTGGTACGTATGAAAATCAGATTCCTGGAATTGAATGAAATACTGCAAATACTTATAATTTGGGAGCTTAAGATCCTCCTGCATTAGGAAGCAGCCATGTTTTATCAGTTTGCATCGGAGAACGGGAGCATGGGCGATGGTTCTGGTCTGTATGCTCCTACCCCCTTCACAGTACAAGTTACCAGAGCAGCCGTGGTGGAAGGATCTCTGCAATGAGCTGTGAACGACTGAGCGCTCAGCAGATAGACAGCATTATATGGAGTCTGCTTCCAGAAGGGACCTTCCTTGGGACCTTCACCCTTAGTAGTTGCCCATCCTTTGCAACGACAGAGGGGTGGCACCAGGCACTTACAGCCTCCAGCTTTTTGCTGGTAGAGACTCAATTACGCCATCCAACCAAAGACATAATTTGAGAAGAATTTCTGGGCATGTGCAACTGTGCAGAAAATGTCTTTGTGCTTCAGACTAGAGGAAATGGAGTTGCCATCTGCTCTGGGATTTGTAACAGCAATAAACACAATTCCACGGACATTCCCTTTTTCCATTCTTTTCCCCTTTGGGTATGAGTGGGGGAAGTATTTGAGTTTTGGCTTTGCCTGTTTTGGTTGGGGGTAGATGAGCAGGGGGCAGGTGAGGGAAGTAACTGTTTCAGTCAGTCAGTGTTAGCTAAATAATATTTAGCCTGATTTTCACATATACTCGCCCCTCATTTCTAGTTCTTGGAAAGTTTTTTGCTTAGAATCGGAGACAGGGAATTGCTTACAGCTCGAGCACTATAAGCATTATTAGGTTTGGACATTGGTTTTAAGCAGCTATAACTTATGGGGAAATTTTTGATCATGTAAGATTTTATTTCTAAGCACAAACTTGACTTGAAGTTTAATATATGTTGATATTTCATAGAAAGCATCAGGTGATAACAATATGGGGAGTTGGAAGAAGAGGAAGAAGTCTTTGGGAGGTTAGGAAAATGGCATAGTTTATAGAGCTGAGCAAGTAGAGAAACCACTAGATTTGGAATCAGAAAATATGGTTTCTGGTTGTAATTTTCCATGTGCTCCTTCTCTGATCTTGATTAAGTGCATTGATACTTGGATGTAATTAAGATGATATCACTGCTGCTTGAATTTATATGGAGAATAAGGTGGGAATGTGTGTAAATATATGTATCTCCAGGCCCCTGCCCCCCCCCCTTTTTGGTAATTTTCCCCTATGGAAACTGTATTTCAAAGATTATTAACTTTTTTTAATGTTTATTTTTTGAGAGAGAGAGAGAGAGAGAGAGAGAGAGAGAGAGACAGAGTGTGAGGAGGGGAGAGGCAGAGAGGGAGACACAGAATCTGAAGCAGGCTCCAGGCTCCGAGCTGTCAGTACAGAGCCTGACGTGGGGCTCGAACCCAAAAACTGTGACATCATGACCTGAGCCAAAGTTGGACACTTAACCAACTGAGTCACCCAGGCACCCCTTAAAGATCATTATCTTAAAGAGGATGTTCTTTTAGAAAAAATAATTCATTTTTTGCTACTTTTGTTATATAAAAATTCTGGTTGATACGAGTCTGACCGCTGTTAGCCCAGCAAGTTCATACAGTTCTATCCAGAAACAAAGACAGTTGACATTTTAGTTAGCCTGCAGACTCATCAAGAATAACTATTTGATTTTTATAGTTCAAAGAAAATTACAGTTTATGGGCCCCAATTTTCTACTTTCGTGGACCTCAAATAGAGAACTATTCTCTATACAAAATGTAATTCTGTGTTATGAATCGGAGTTAATTTTTAATAGAATTGGAGTTAATTTTTAATGCTGAGAAAATCCAATAAATGGAAATGAGATATAACCCATGTCTTTTACATAAAAGCTTTTTATATGTAAGAGATTTTTAAAAGTGTATTTAAAAAAAATTGATCTCTAGCGTTCTCATCAGGTACCTACACCTGTGGGTCTTAAAAAGACTGTGTGCCCTCCCACATCACAGGCTTCATGAAATGATTTCTCTTGTCCATGGCGATGACAAAATTACTGAAGAGCTCTGTCGTTATCTTCTCATAATAAGACTGAACAATCTAGGAAACAAAGAATGCCAGGAAATGGAAATAGGATTCACGTGGAGTGGAGAAAAAGAACTAACATTTGTAGAATTATATTTGCCTGGCTCTCTTTATTATCTCTTTGAATTCCCATGATAACCCTAGAGGGTAATTTCTCCTGTTTTGAAAGAAGAGTAAACTGAAGCTCCAGAGATAATTGACGTGCCTCAGTTCTTGTGCTGATTAAAACAAAACAGCAAAAAGTCCAACCGAGGCCTCTCTTACTTCAGTTCCCGTGTCTTCTCCACCTGCTGCTGTCCCTGAGAGCCCACTAGTGGTCACTGATTTCAGCAAGCCTCCGTGGCTCCTGTAGTCCTCTGCAGATCCCTGGATGGATCTCTGGCCCACACAGCCTTCCACCTTGACTCAGATGGGAGAGCTATAATGTTCAGTCTTATGATCCTAGTGCTTGTTTCTTAAATTTGCATTTAAAGTCATTTTTAAAGAAAAGCATTCCTACCAACAAGTACACAGATTCTAAGCCCACGGCTCGCTGACTACATCCACTCAGCGAGAATGCAAATCAAGACATAATATTAACTAACACCGCCCGAGCCCCCTCATGCTCCCGCCCAACTTAAACGCAACATGAAAGAAGTCAACATATATTGGTTCTAGAAGTGCTTCCTCGTATTCTGTGTAGGGCATGTATGTAAAGGCTGCCCGTCGTTGGTTCGTAGCTGCAATTTAAGTGCACTGCATGTTCTTTGGAAATGGAACTAGGAAGGAAACTGAAAAGATCAACCAGAAATATAATGAGTCTCCCATCTCACACATTCTTCCCCCAGCACCCTCTATGCCGGCTTATGAACTGGAGACCCCTTTGAATCAAACGGACAACACAGTGACAGTCATGCTGAAACCTGCACACAGCCGGGGCGCACCTGTCAGGTACTGAGCAGAGGAGGGGTGGGCTGGCTCTAGAGAGATAGGAACTAAAATCAAATTGATTAATTTCTTGAACGTGTTTTCTGGGGTTTTGCTACAAACATCAGTCAGCTTGTAAAGCCAGTATCTTTATTAGCTCTAATTAGATTAGAAAGGGAAAGTGCTTTGAACTGGGGTGACCAAGTATTGTGTATGGAGTTTGATTCAGATGCAAGTGCATTGTTCTTTGAAGATAAGGAACAAAAGCCTTAGTCTGTGGAGAGGTGGCTGTACTTCTAAAAAGTAATTGCTTGCTGAAATTTAGTTACCCAAGGGCAGATGACATTTTTATCCTGAGCTCTACTCCTTAAATGGACGTTTGTGGGTTTTCTGCTTGTTTGTTTGTTTACTTGGGGTTTTAAGTCACTTAACTTATGGTAAATGGGCTAATTTGTCCATTGGATAAGTGGTATATAGTTGTTTTTTAAAAGAAGCAGATGATTGGAAAGAGCATTGTGAAGTCTTTATTTGAACATATTTATTACCAACAGGTAGGCCCCATTTCTCATTCCATGATGATTTATACAGCTGAGATATTACCAAGTGTAACTTGTACAGTGAATGAATAAAATAAATTTATTCTTCCTAGGAGGGAGCAAAGGAATGCCTGAATAACTCTTGAGTATGAACTTGTCATAAGCTCATTAATCTATATAAAAGAAATTTCTACTTGTTTCGGAGGGATTTAGATATTCTGTACTATCAGAATAGATCCCCTTCAAAATAACCTATTATTTTGAAGAACATACTCCAAGGAAACATTTACATTCCCATTTAAGGCTATGTAGGGATTATTTGCCATAATCTTTTTGTAGAGTTTTAGTCCATTAACCTTTTGAAACCCAGCGCTTTTGGATCACGTTTTCACTACAATATCAGAGGACAGTCAGTTGGACTTCTTTCTACCTGATCAGATATGTGCAAGTTTCAATTCACGGAGTCAAGAGTAAAAACAGAATAGCGTTAATTGATGGTAAAGTCAGATTAGGGTAGAACCACAGAAATTTGCATTTGAAAAATCTACATAATTTTAGTCTATTCTGTTGTTGAGTTACTCAACATAGTAGTAGTTCACGTAAGGGATTTAGGACTACCATTCCTAAATGCAGTTTGTGAGAACACCTTGAAGTAAGTGAATGCTTTCTTACGAATTTAAGATACCATTACTGCTAGAAAAGTATAGCCACCGACACTACCTTGGCCCTTTGGGTTGACTTGAGTGCAGTGTTGTTGCGTGCCCTATCCTGAATGACCCAAGCCACACGCTCATTAGATGGTTGGCTGAGATCCAGGTGTACCTGTGGCTGTGAGTCAGACTTGGTTTCACTCCGGAAAGCTGAAGTGTTATTAAATGATAAATTGATGCTCTGGCCATGGCCTTGAGAGCGTCATTTTCTTGTGACCAATTTAACAGGGGCCCAGACTCAGTACTGTGGGCTTTGAGGTCAGGGGTCAATGTTCTCCAGAAACATCATGATAAAATGAAAGGGTAGAGGCCACTCACTTTCAATGCCTCCAAATGGAAGGAATCTGAAATCCTAACCATTTCTCCAAAACGGCTAGTTATTTCCGATTCTACTTTATTCTCACATAAACTCCTTTTCATTTTCTATTCTTCTCGCCTCTTTCCTTCAAACCCTTTCAGTCAGGTTTTCATCCACGTCTCTCTGTTGATCTTTCTGAGTTTTCAAATAATATTCCTTTGGGCAATCTATATCAGCCCCCTCCCCAATTCTCCTTTCCTTATTTTTTTTTTAAAGTGCTTCTTGCATTCCAAACTACTATTCGTGTTTTCTATCATATGCCTTGTTGTTTTCGTTCACACCTTTCTAGTTGTTTTTGGAGACTCTGGAGCCCTAAATAGTTAATTGGAGATATCCTCAGGCTCTTTTTTATTATGTTATAAAAATGCACATTCAAATGCTTATCCAAGTGTCCAAAATATCTGGCTTCACCACAGTTTTATATCATTTCATGAGGGCCAGTCTCTGACTCGGCTGAGATTTCAGTTTATGTTAGCACACCCTCCTCCACAGCTGTCTTGATGCTCTATTTCCAAGCTCATCATTGATTAGACATCATCTTGTTATTGGCTAAACATTCCTTGAATTTGCCAGGGTCACTTTTCATTCTGTCTCTATTATATCTTCTTCCACAACGTTAGCATCTTGAAATTAATAAATGTACTGTCTATGTTCATCATCTAAATCTATGCTAGATTCAGAATCAGTTCTTATGGGATACTATTAAGTAAACATTACAGGCAAACCCACTACAGATACGACCTTAAGTGAAAGGATGCTTCTCTTATCTTAAATGGGTTAGTCTGATTGGCACAAATTTGAGAAGGGAAATTATCTCGACCTCACCTGTCAAAAAGTTGTTTGTTTTGTTTTGTTTTGTTTTGTTGCAGAAAAGTGAATATTCTCTCCAAGGGATTTGGTATTATAGTACAACATAATGGGACTGATTATCTATTGAGTCGATGCAAGACCAATATCTAGAAAGACTAGTTTGGAAAAAATATCCATAATACTCTCAAACTAAATGGGGTATATGAAAATTTTCAATTTCATTTAATGCTTAGAGAAATAAGAACTCTGATTAGGGAATCATAGGGACCTAAAATATAAAGCCATAATGTAGATTAAAACATTTGAACACATCTGGAAATTTGCAAAATGCACATGTAATCAAACTGCAATACAAGAAAGCTTTTCCCAAATGATAAGATAAATACTAGAAGAAGGAGGGAAATGAAAGTGAACATCTGTTTGCTTTCCTGGATTTTGCACAGTATTATGTGCTCAAAAATACTGTCATTGTGCGATTTCCAAAACCAATTCTTTCAATTGATTTGAGTTTTCTTTAATCCATAATCATTGGTGTTAAAAATTCAGTCCTACTTCATTTGTGCACTTCACTAAGTAAGATGGTTCTGCATTAATTCCACTACAAGCACTCGTTTTGCTTAATGCAGATTCTTAAAATTGCACTAAACTCTCCATGTTAACGATTGTTGTCTTTTTATTGATCAACACATCAGCTCTGTCACATAAAATTATTTAAATCCCGAGATGGCCAGGAAGAGCACAAATCCCATCATTCCAACTAGTAAACTAGCACCTGGGACAGAATTTTAATGTCTGTTCATGGATTCAGTTTTGTTTTTTTCTTTAATAAGACAAGGAAAAGCTTAATTTTCTTTGACTCATTTAGAATCACCTCATTTCTCTCTCTTCTCTCCACTGTTCATTACATGCAGACACAATCCAACAGAGAAAATCCTCGTAATTTGCCAGCAAAATAGCAGCCCTAAATAAAGGATGAGTTTTACACAAACTGTGTGCTTTTCTTGCACTAACAAATATGCTCTCTGTGATTTTACTCTTGTGATATATATCTGCTATGTGCAATATCCCTCATTAATGATGTTTTATACGTTCTAATGGTTTACAGCATGAGACTCCATCACATGGTTGAGCCTTGGGTGATGGTGTTTTCAAATGACTCTCATTTTTGTTCTTTAGGCATTGTTGCTTCAATTTATTCATAAATGTGTGGGAGCTATATGTCTTCTTAATTAAAACTCAGCGCTTGAATATGTTAATTAAACGTTCGGATATTCATCCCAGTAAAATGTTAGAAAATTGCCATTTTAAGTACTCATTCTTTGATTCATTCATTCAGGAGAAACTACCAAGTGGGGAAAACATCTATTACAGTTGTCTGTCCATGGGGATGGGAGGTGGGCAGTCATCGCAGCAACAACCAAAACATTAAAACTGATGGCTGAAACATGCGAATACACACCTTGTTCTTCTAACAAAGCTAGTCCTAATTATTTTAATGCTGTAATTTTCTTGTCATTGGTAACTTCTTATACTATGGTGGTCTTTGCAATGAACGCTTCCTCAACAGTTATAGCTAAAAAGCAATTTGTAAAAAAAAAATAATAACAAATAATAAATAAAAATAAATAAGAACAAAAAGCAATTTGTGACGAGTTCCCATTGCTGAGAATCAGGGCCACAATCTTAAAGCAAATAGGAACTTCACTGCATTATGAATGGGGAAGAGATGAGGGCATAAGGAAGGAATGAAAGAAATATTTTGCCTTATTTTTTTAAAACATGGGTCCTGGCAAGTAAGATTCAAATGAGATAGGAAATAGTTTCTGCTAGTAGAAGACAGGCATACATGTTTTATTCATCCACAATACTTGTGATTTTTTTTTGAAAAAAAAAAAAAAACAAAAAACCGTACCATATGAAAACTTCAGCTTCATATATAAATCGAGAATTTATTTACTTTTATATAATGTGGCCAGATTTTCATTAACTAGATTTCACCTTGAATTCATTACCCTGGGAGACTTTACCAATATGTGATGTTTTCATTTATCTCCTGTCATTTTTTCCTGATGCTGCTTTGTCTTCGGTAGTTAGCGAGCAAAACGTGCACGGATCTTAGTGCTTCATTGTTAACTTCTAGTATTGCTTGATTTACCCAAACTATTCATCAAATATTCTTTTGAAACAAATCAGACAGATAATTAAAAATGTATTAAAGGATGCTATTTTTTTTCATAACTGAGCTTTTTTTCCTTGAAAACTCTGTGCTCTGTTCTTAGAAAAAGGTGAAGGACAGGTTTTCATTCCATTGAGGATAAATAGTCAGTAAAGCAATTGTATGGGTTTTAAGAAAATTTGTTACACTTCCTAGAAATGTCTGATTTGATCCTCGAGCTGTATGGAAAATGAGATTTATTCTTCTTTGTGGCCATCAGCTTGCACTCATGTTCCCAGCTGGTTGTCACATAGAAGTTTTTCTTAAAGGGATTCGGCAAGAGAGTGTCAGGGAGTCTGTGAAAACTGCCACCTCAGATGGACAGAGACACGGATCTTTTGACAGTAAAAGCAGGGAAAGAGATCATTATGACTAATGAATGATAGGAGATAATC